CAATGGTTATAGAGATCTGTATGACAACAAAGATTCCTCACGTGCTGTAGTGAGAGAGTGAAATAGTCCGATTACCCGTTGTATGAACCTGTTCCATGCCCGACTTGTCAAAATTCGTGTAGGGGTTCCTGGTCTACACGCCACCTACAAGATACGATATAATATAGTGAGACCCCTAGGTCCCTGTATCCCTGACTGTCCGGGCACATATCTCCCAGAGTAGACCCTAGGTCAAGGGACCCAGAAATGTGAGTTCGATAACCGAAGTCAAAGTCTCCCTATAGAGGGATACCTCCCTTTTTAGATTGGAGTCCCGTGAACACATAGTGTTCTCCAATACGCCGGCAAGGCGTAAAGTCCCTTCGCTCATGACAGGTGACTCCAGAGCAGATATAACAAAAAAGAATGGTCTAGTTTCAACCGTCCAAATTCTTGTAGATGTGGCATATATTAAAACAGGATGAGACTTTATCTGGGATTATCCCTGAGAAACCACAAGTTATATTTAGAGGGTCACCCAGTTTTAAGTCTATCCTCACAAGTAACTACACAAAACAGAGCACTTTATCTCCTAGTCCCCCCACCTTTTTAACTAAACCTAGTGGCTTTTTTAAATGCAACAGATGTATAGTCTGTAAACGGACTAGTGATATTATTAAATCAAAAACGACATCATTCACATCAACAATCACACACAAAATATATCAAATAAAACATTTTATTCATTGTAACACGAGAAATGTGATTTATCTCCTGGAATGCCCTTGCGGTCTTCAATATGTGGGCATGACTACTAGAGATCTTAAAACAAGATTAGCCGAACATTGTAGGAATATCCTAAAAGGCTATGAAAACCATTCAGTTTCGAAACATTTCCTACAACATGGAAAAAAAACAAAATACCTTAAATGCATTGGTATCGATACATGTAACATTCCATGGAGAGGGGGAGACATTAAAAAAGTATTGGGTAAGAAAGAAATGGAATGGGCATATAATTTAAAAACCCTTGCCCCCACAGGGTTAAACATTGATTTTGATCTCTTCAATTTTCTGGAATAACTTATACTGGAAATTCCACTGTGATTAATTAACCTACTATTATTCATTTTTTATTCATTTTTATTATTTATTTTAATATTTTATCTTTGATTATATTTATCTTAATTTCTGCTATTTTTATTTGTATCCTAATACTTGTACTAAAAAACTTATAACATGTTTAAACCACATTTAAATTCTACTGCAATTAGTCAACTCATTATTATCCATAATCTTTTATCATGTATTTTAATATTTTCCTTTAAAAATATTCTTATATTTTTATTTTTATAACTTATATTCAATAATTTATAACATGTTCTAACTTTATTCACATAATGCATATTTTATTGTATATGTTATTCACATAATGCATATTTTATTGTATATGTTTTTATGTTAAAATAATCTATTTATATAACATTATGTATATGGATGGTGTTTAACAGTATTTTTCCCCTTTAGACTGTATTGCTTTTATGCAAATTTCATTGTCTGCTTTTATACACAGATCATTTTGGAGGCTTCCGTGCAGTATTCATCTTTATACCTCCCTCTTTTTATTCTAATTTGAGGAGCTCCCCCTCCCACCCTGTGACACATGCGTTCCGTTTAGATGGGAACGCATGCGTCCTACCCGATCATCACGTGACGCGGAAGCAATCTCAGCCGCGCGTCTCGTGATTATGATGCATGCGTTCCAACTAAGTGCACTTGAGCATCACGTGACGCGGAAGTAATTATATTCGGGCGTCACGTGATCGCTCGTTTATTGCTTTTTTTAGCTATTTTAATGTTCGGTTTTATTTCATTTTCCTATATTTACTTTATACTTCTTTGTACTACAAAAATATGCTTTTTAACTTCTGTTTCTGTTTTTACTAAAATATCAATATTCCAGTGACGTCATTTTGGCGGGAATTTCAAATTTTCATAGTAGTATTGTATGTTATATAAACCCTTGTATGTCATTTTCACAACTATCTACTTGAAGAAGCCTTTTGAGGCGAAACGCGTCTAGATACCATTATTTTAATTTATTATTTCTAATAAAGAATTTTATTTGGCATAAAATACTTTATTGCCATTTTTCTTTATATTTTCTCATTTTCTTTATTTTATTCTCTGCACCTGACCTACATCTACAAGAAACTTAAAGAATCCAGAGGTGGGGATTGTACCACCCAAGCGCTTACAAGTCTGCTCTACATAATGTAAGTAATTTACTTTATACCATCACCCTTATATTACAAACAGAGAGCACTATATTTGTATTCTCTCAATTTTGGGTTAAATCAATTGGAACGCTGAGTGTGGACTAGAAATCCTCCAATCAAACATTACTCTACATATCCTTGAGTGGGGATTATTCCACTTCACGCGCATAAATTGGAGCTAAGTTCTAGCTCCATAAAGTGTGAGTAGGACCATTTGCACTATTTCAAAATGTATATTTTGATTGATATACTGTACCATTGGAGTTTCTGTTTTCTGCTTTCCTTTCATATATACCTCACCGGATCCGAGCATACTACTGTGAAGTTTCAACTCCATCTGACGTCCTAAGATTTGCTGTCTCTACAAGGAGAACCTGTTATTACGAACTTTCGATAAGTGTTTTGGACTATTATCTCACTTATCTTATAATTTTATATTTTATATAATTGTTATATTTTATACTTTGTATATGGTTTACTATACATCTTAGGCGCACCCTTCCTTTTTTTATTTGTCTATTGTTTTCCATAATCTAGGGGATTATAGGGGACTCCCCTTTGAGGTGTGCTGCCTTTTTATCTTTTTTTTTGTGTGGCAGTTGAGCGCTGATTTCTTCCCTTTTTTAGCACGGTCATTAGATCTAATTGAATGCAGAAGGGACGCCCCTCTATGTAGTCATCGTTGTCCTGTGAGATGAACAAAAGGACTGCACCGTATAGCGTTGAGTGTATGAAAGAGCCGCACTCTCTAATAATGTTCCATGTCAGCGTCTGGCTGATAGTCTGAGTGGGCCGCACTCAGGGTGACCAACTGCAGGGGTACACCATTTACTAATATCAGCATAAGACTGAGGTCCTGAGGTGGGTCTCTCTCTGACCACGAGACCTCTCTCTGAATCGCTCCCCGATATGGAATTAACTGGTAATAAACCAGACCAATGGCAAATGGACTAGTATACAACCTCGGGCTGTGTCCATTCTTAATAACAGAAAGGGATGGTGCGAAAAAGCAACCTTCGGAAACAATGTTGAAAACTACCAACTGACCACCTGGATCATGTGTGTGTGCGCGGGGTCCAGGGTGACCGTGGGTAGCCTGAGGAAAGCTGGAGACGTTCTCCGCAATCCACGAAAAAGCCCAGGAGATCGGAGGAGGTCAAGTCAGGCCTCTCGATGACCCGAGCGATAGGACAATTGGAAGGTTCGAAAACCAAGAACAACAACTAATATAGATAACAGTAAATACGTACCTCGGAGAGAAGGTAAATAGCAGATCAGAACAGCAAGCCAAGTAAACCCAACTGAAAGGGTCAGGAGCTAAACATGATGTAGGACTAACTACCAATACCTAAGATGGATACCGGGAAGGCAGCTAAATGGTTAGTTGCTAAAGGCAAGGCAACTGTACTCCCCTGTTGGCGTCTGAGCACTGGTCCCTGCTTGTGCGAAATTCCCTTTGGAAATGTGCCGCCGCCGGGTAGGTGTAAACCGTGGTGGCGCGCCCAGGGATCCTCATATAAAAAAACCTTGCCCCTCAGGGGATGACGTTTAGGGCCTTCACCCTTCCAATCTTGGATAGTAAGACAGCAGTGCTTGCCTGGACACCCACCTATCTCCATGTC